GATGGCTCGAATTGAGTGGACATGGGATCAGGCCGCCGCAACAGAACAAGAAATCCCGAGAGACTACAGACTTGTTTTCAACGACTGGACTCAAATTGATCCATCTTTCCCGATGAGACCACCGTCTAATTTCCTGGACCCGTTTCCCCCTCACCCCCTGGCCCTGATGGAAGTTTTTACCTAACACCAGATCAGACAAGAATAAGATAAGCCTCCCAGGTGCCCCCTGGGCAGCGCTTATCAAATGCTCACTTTCTTCACAAGATACATCACCTGCTCAGTCAATCCCCTGGTAATCAGGGCAATCAATGCTGGCAGGCTGATAGTTGTATCTTCTCAGCAGCAGGTGTTTTGGTGCCCATCTCTCAGCAACCTGCACAGTCAATCCTCTGGACGCCAGAGTAATCAATGCTGGCAGTTTTTTTCTCAACCTTTTCTCAGCCCTTTGTCCTGGTATATTCTGATTCATTCTGTATAAGGGACGTTGGACCCGCTTTCCAGCAGGTGACGCTCCCCACCAATAGATGGAGCCTTTCCCCGAGTGCTAGTGGTACCTGCTTTTATCAGTACCACTAGCACTACAGGGGGTGTTAAAAAAAAAAAAAAAGTTACAAAACAAGAAAAAAGAGGGGAGTGGTTGGTCTCCACCTCAGGGTGTCAGTTGTCCGATAGTCATTGATGATTACGCCAACCAGGGTTATTAATGTGGATTATCACTTACAATATCATCTGTTAGTGGACTTTGCAGACTGGGGTAGAGGGTTCAGCCACCTGTCACAGCCCAACAAAGCAGTTTCTGTCACAGTCGGTGAAACTTCAACGAAACAGTCTGTCACAGCACAACAAAGCAGTTTCTGTCAAGTCCGTGAAACTTCAACGAAACTTCTCCCTCTGTTTGTTATCCTCTTCTCCCTCTCTCTGCCAGATGTTCACTGCACGGGTCTTCGTGATGATATGTATACATGCATATCGTCAAACAGAGCCGCCGACGGTAAACCGTAGGCAGAGAGGGAGGGAGAAGAGGACAACAAACGAGAGGTTGTGACAAACTCTTACATCGGAGTTTCATTGTATGAGTCGGTGAAACTCCGACGAAACAGTTTGTCACAGCCCCTCGTTTGTTGTCCTCTTCTCCCTCTCTGCCGACGGTTTACCAGGCAGTTCTGTTTGACGATACTCTGCCTCTTTCTCACAGCGTACAAGTGGGCTATTATGGCACACGGGGATGGGGCCAGCTCGTGCTCAACTTCATCAACGTGGCGAGCCTTGTACGTGAGAGGCACGGTGAAAGGGGAGTCAAAAGAAGAATGAGAAAAATGAATGGTTTCACTGTGCCCTTCATGTTTGTCCTGTTTTTTTTATTTTTTATTTTTTATTTTTGCCATTTGTTTTGCAAAAATTGCACTCTTTTAGTTCATAGTTATGTGACAATATATATATATATATAGGCATAGAGAACTGCCTGCTGTACTGCAGGCAGAAAGGGAGAGAAGGACAAGAAACGTACTTTTGTAGCTGAGTGTTTCTTCTTCTTTTTTTTTTTTTTTTTGGCAAAAGAAATCACTTATTATGGCTTCAATGCAAGAGGAGGCAGGGAATCCCTCCACTATCAACTTTGTCACTAATGGATAATAGGTGGTGTGAGGAAAATGAGAGAAAGCGAAATGACCAAAATCCAGAATGTGAATTCCCATTGAAAGCCAGAAAGTCCAACGCTGTCCAGAAAGCAGAAATGCACTGATATTCCACCAACGGAGAACCAAAGCACTGGATCCGAATGTCAATGAGAGCACTCTCTCCCCATCACCAACACATGTATCCAGAGTCCTTCCTCATACTTGGCGCTCAGCGCCCAGACTACGTTCACGCAGCTACAACTCAGCCTACAAATTGACGATGCAACCTGTTGACGTCAGCAGCAGACCCGAAGTACATGGAGATGCCGACCCTTGTAGACCATCTCCAAGTCCAGGTACGTGCCCTCACATCATATCCTCCTCTCTCTCTCTCTCTCTCTCTCTCTCTCTCTCTCTCTCTCTCTCTCTCTCTCTCTCTCTCTCTCTCTCTCTCTCTCTCAACCTGGAAATGGACCGGGACCATTGCCCGGCTTTGGTTGACTGTATTAAATTGTGTATTTCCACTTCCATTGAACACCTAACTGTGCTAAGTATATTTATTTAAAGGCAGAAGGGATAGCAACACTTAAGAAAGTCTTTGGAGAAATAGGATAACATCTCCGTTGTCGTCTAGTCTGGTTAGGATATCTGGTTTTCACCCAGACGACCCGGGTTCGAATCCCGGCAACGGAATGTTTTAGTTTGTAATTGCAGTCTCGCAGTCGCAGTTGCAGTCCACAGTTTAGTGCCGCTGGTATAACGAAGATCTTTGGGGGTTGTGTGTGTCTGAGTTTGTGTGTGTTGTCCTATTCGCTATGTGTGGGTGTGTGTGTGAGAGAGAGAGACAGAGAGAGAGAGAGAGAGTGTGTGTGTGTGTGTGTGTGTGAGAGAGAGAGAGAGAGAGAGTATTGCCTGAGCGTTAGCATGCATACATGCATGACATTTCTCTGTTCTGGATGTTTTTCCTTCTTTGTTAAAAACATTGGACCATTTCTCGATTTATGTGCATCATTCTTGCACAGGGGCCATGCTAATCTTCTCTTATATAGATCCAATTTTATTATTTATTTATTTATTTATTTGTGTTCCCGATGGACCAGGGATCAGATATTAAACTGATCAGAACGGATGTCCCGAAGGACAGATGCCAGAAATTCTTTGGGTCCTGAGATAAGAAATTCTGCACTTAGGACCCTAAGAGTCCGGGAATCCTTAGGGCTATTCTTGGCCTCAGATTCTTTCTTAGGGCCAGAATCCTGCAAAAATGAGAAGACATTTCTTAGGCTATCCTGGGAGAGACAGAGAAGGACAGAGAGGCAGATAGACAGAGAGACGGACGAACAGACAGACAAATAGACACAAACAGACAGAATGGGAGACAGAGAGGCAGAGAGACAGACGAAGACACACTGATATGATTTGTTTAGCTCTCTCCAAAAAGAGAGCAGATGGATCCTGGAAGTCAAGATGTGTGCTTTTCAAAGATGCCCCTCAAAAGTTTCACCAAGGGTTTCTTTAAAGTTATTTCCGAACCCCCCTTATCTTGGACTGCCCGAGTGCTTATGGCCATTTGCACTTCGGCTCGACATTTAGCGTGCCCCACCTGCAAATAGCATCTCCGTTGTCGTCTAGTCTGGTTAGGATATCTGGTTTTCACCCAGACGACCCGGGTTCGAATCCCGGCAACGGAAAATCCTTTATATTGGGGTACTAGAATTGGAGAGAGAATTCTCCTGGAAGAAATAAGTTACACCCTTCCTAGAAGGCCATCCGGATCCCAACATGCTGGTCGCAAGTAGCAAGGTGAAACTGGGTGGTATGCTGAAAATCAGTCTCACGATTTTCCATGAAAATAATATTCAGAGTTGAGGATTCCGAGGAATCATCTTATCTACGTCCCTGGTGGTGGCTGAATCAGTAAACACACCAACCGTGAGTGAAATAATGTTGGTTAATGAACAATATTGAATCATCTTAATATTCAATGAAGTTCAATCTAATAATGGACAATAAAATACAATTCAAAACTCAAATATCCTATCTCTTAAGCAGCACTGGCCGGGTGGGGGGAGGTCCATGATGGACTGCGCGCCGGATTCGAGTCAAAGTTTTGGTGAGGGGTGGCGGATGAAGGCAATCGAGGACGGGGGAGTGTGCAGAGGGGTGCGTGCCGGATTCTGGTCAAAGTTTTGGTGAGGGGCGGCAGATGAAGGCGATCGAGGGCAGGGGAGTGTGCAGAGGGGTGCGCGTGCCGAAACGTTCACAGCGTGCCATTAAACGAGAGCGCGCACCCCGGGGGCGGGGGCACACGGCTGGCGTTGATGCGGACGAACATCTTAGAGGCGAGCCATTCGATATGCGGGCGGCTTTTTTGTTTGTTTATGTTCCCCGGTTGGCCGTCATTTTGTGTCCCCCTTCTCCTTTTTTCATTTCTCGCGACTGTCATTTTGTGTCCCCCCTTTTCTTTGTTTTTTTTCTTTTCCTTCTTTTTTTCATTTCTCACGCGGCTGTCATTCTGTGCCCCCCGGTAGGCCGTCGTTGTTTCTGCGGACGAACATCTTGGAGGCGAGCCATCCGGAATGCAGTGTGAGGTCACCCACTGCATTTGTTATTTCTGCAGGAGTCGCCCGCACCGCGGGCACTTAAGCTAGTTGTTTATAATAATGGAGAATATTTAGCCTCCATCATGCACTGCATCTGTTTGCCAGACACACCTTATCGTGGACTCTCTCTCTCTCTCTCTCTCTCTCTCTCTCTCTCTCTCTCTCTCTCTCTCTCTCTCTCTCTCT